ACTCTCGGAAGACTCCGGGCGGCTTACAATAAAAAGGGAAGGGGGATATAAAAATAAAAACAACAATTTAAAATTACAACAACGGACTCCAGAAGATGGTAGAGGACAGGAGGGCCTGGAGGAATGTTGTCCATGGGGTCGCGATGGGTCGGACACGACTTCGCAACTAACAATAATACAAACATTTATGCTATTAAAATTAAGTACAGGTAGTCCCTAACTTACAACCATTCATTTAATGGCCATTCAAAGTTAACAGTAGCTCTGAAAATAACGAGGGCCATTTTCCACACTTATGGACCACTGCAGCATCCCCATCATCACAAGATCAAAATTCGGACGCGTGGCGAGAGGCTCCAATTTACGGCGGATGCCGTGTGATTGTGTGATCGCTCTTTGCGACCTTCTGACAAGCAAAGTCAATGGGGAAGCCGGATTCACATAATGCCAGTGCTACTAACTTAAACAACTGCAGTGGTTCACTTAACAACGGTGGCAAGAAAGGTGGTGAAATGGGACCAAAAAAAATCACTTAAGAACTGTCTTCCTTTAGCAATGGACATTTGGGGCTCACTTGTAAGTCTAGGACAGTGTTTCTCAACCTTCGCAACTTGAAGATGTCTGGACTTCAACTCCCAGAATTCCCCCCAAATGCTGGCTGGGGAATTCTGGAAGTCCAGACATCTTCAAGTTGCCAAGGTTGAGAAACACTGGTCTAGGACTACTTGTACAAAGCAACAACGACAACAGCCAATCTGTACCAGGAGGAGAAACAATAGATGGAAACTAATCAAGGAGAGAAGCAGCCTGGAATTAAGGAGAAACTTCCTAACAGTGAGGATGATTAACCAGTGGAACGACTTGACTCCCGATGTTGCGGGTGCTTCATCACTGGAGGTTTTTAAGAAAAGACTGGACAGTCCCTTGTCTGAAATGGTATAGGGCAGAGGTGTCAAACTCACAAGATGCTTAGATCTGGCCCACAAGGCTGCCCTGGGAACAGTGAAGGACCAGCCCATAGTACCAGTGCCGGAAAAAAACCCGCGGCCTTCCTGATCTCCGTATTCGCAGGCAGAGTGCTTGGACCACCAAAGGCGCCCCCAACACAAGTGAAGTCAAATGCCCTTCACTAGAGCCGAGGTGGCGCAGTGGTTAGAGTGCAGCACTGCAGGCTACTTCAGCTAACTGCAGTTCGGCAGTTCGGCTGTTCAAATCTCACCGGCTCAAGATTGACTCAGCCTTCCATCCTTCCGAGGTGGGTAAAATGAGGACCCGGATTG